AAACTGTAATTTCCCTGCCAGCTCAGCTCCTTGCTCAATTTTTATTTTATTTTATTTTATTTTTAATTTTTTTTTCTATTCAGGCTCATCACTGCTTTGGCTACCTACATGGATACAGTGAGGCATATCACTAAGGCACAGACTTTGAGCCAGGAGAAGCAATCACACGACCTCCACCAGGCCAATTCTCCAAAGCTTCCCAGCGGGGAGCACAGATCACTAATCATTGCAGGTCTATTTATGAGTTGGGAGAGCTTTCCAACTTAGAAAAAACTTGTGGAGTTTATTTCAGGTACCTGCATTTCCAGGCCAATAAACATTAAGCTTTAACTGTATCAGAGAAGAAAGTGAAAATACTTGTAAACAGAGAGCAGGGCTTGAACCCCCCATCTCCCCTTTTAAGTGAGAGCATGGGCACATGTAGAGAGAGCAATTCTTAGATATATAGCCCACCTAGGTAAAGCACTTTCAAATGTACTTCATTTATTTATTCTAGGCCCTTTTTTGGCTCAAAATCATCAAAAATTGCTGTCTCTAGTTTCATTGTGCCCTTTTGAAATTGTCCAGATTTTGCACTAAGAGTCTAAAGCCACAGCAAAGGAGCAGGCCAAGAGGAAAAGCTTTTGAAGAGTTCCCACAGCTGTGAAAACACGGGCCTCAGGCTGTGTGTAGAGTTACTTCAAACAGCTGCTTCAGGTGACTAAACACCTTGAGTCTCATTCATCAAGTGTTGTTTATACTGGCTGACAGACCAGACTTGGAGAATTAACTCTGAGAAAAAAAGATGTACTACATACCAAGTATGGGAAAGGAACCCAGTCCCCTAAATAAGAAAGAAAGGGGGAGTAGGGGAGGAGGGGGGGGTGGAAAGAGGGGGAGGGAAGAGTCCCTTTAAAATAAAACAGATGAGGGCCAATTTTATTTCATGTTAATAGGCCTTTTGATGCCCTTTGCATGTTTAAAATCAGAGGTGAAGGGGTATCGATGGTTTGCCACTTCGTAATCATGCAAATAAAAGCGATTTGAATGATCCCTGTGCCTTGACAAAAAAGCTCAGCTAACCTGGTGTAAAATCCCAACGGTTAATTAGGAGCCTTGAATAACCCATTAAAATAAGACCCTTTTTTTCTCAACTATCCTCTACAGAGAATATCAGGAAAAAAAAAAAAAAGATGCCCAGAGCCTCCCTGCTCCCGTTCAGCTTCAGATTGTGCAGATTCCACCCGTAGTTTTGGTGCAGGACTTATCACTCAGCCTGAGATAATATTCTTTCATCTCACATCCATATGAGAAGGTGACATGATAAGATATTTGCAATCGTGTAACTGCTTTGCATGGATCAAAAGAGGAATGAAAGAAAATGACACGAGTCAGTGTCAAGTGAAGTGCTACTAGTTAAGTAAGCTTTAAATATTGAAGGGGATTTTTAATATTTCCTTTTAATCTCGAAATCTGTCACTTGGTGATTTTTTTCTAACACTGGAGTTGTTAGTAACAACATTTTCCATGGTTTCATTCAATCCAAATGCGAAAACCCACCCCATCTCAGTCATGGCAAATGTTGTAATTCCTACTGGCAATTTCTCATCCGCAACCCCGGGCAGATTTCAAAGAAAAGGAGATGTTTTTCAGGCGCTGGGATACTGTTGGGATCCTGATGTTTGAACACTGGCACTAGAACACAGGCCAACAGTGAGATTTCGGTGTTTTTTTCTGGTTGTTTTTTTCCTGACGAGCAGTCAGACTGCGAGGGTGAATGTGCTTTGAGAGACAAAAATAGCGTTCAAAGGGAGAATTTAGAATCATAGAATATTATTTTAAAAGAAGATTGTTTCAGAGGCTGTTTCCCTGACAAACTTGGTAAATAGTTTGGCAGATAGTGAAGCTGTTGGATTTGCATATGCATATATAGGGGCTGAAGAAAAATACCAGGTGGTTTTACTTCTTAGCTCTTTGGAATAACAGAAAGTTGGTGGCAGTAGATTTACATCTTATTCTTTGGGATAAAAAAACCCCAAAAAAACAACTACAGTTTTTCTGAAAAGCAGGATTTTGAACAGGAAACAGAAGAGTAACTCAGCTAAAATTGTATGAGGAATATTGATGAGCCAGTTCCTCCCTTTATTTGGGATGAGCAACGTCCTTCACCGAGAAGGATCTCCCCACTGGATTTTACCTAGGCTGAAAAAGGCAATCCTAATTGGATTAAACTCCCCCTAAGTAATCCAGTGTATATCCAAAATAAGAAGATCAAATGACTGAAATAATATCGTATTCTTTTCCTCCTTGAAACGGTGATACCACTGGAAAGGATTAAAAATTAAGTTGTTTATGTCCCCAGCTGACATGAGTTGGGACAATTTCCCTTGTCATTTATAGCAGAGTAATACTGGGCTTGTGGCTGATATCTACAGCAGGCAGAAATTTAGGGATGGGGATTGAAAAAACAGGGAAAAACAGCGAGGTGGTTTCAATGGCAGAGGTGCTATGGGATGCTGAAGTGGGGATTTAGGAAGGGCACGGATTGGAAAAAGTGATCTATTTAAAAACAAGCAGCTGGAGACGCTCGAGGTTGGTTGGAGACCTCAATAACAAAGCAGTCAAGCCCAAAGTCCTTCCAAGCTGAGGAAGGTTTGGTTGTCTCAGTGTCCCCTCATGGTCCCAGTTCTCTACCATGGTGGCAACAAGGAGCAGCTTGTGCTGGCTGAGGGCATTTAGGCACAACTGCAACTTAAATCACCGAGATTAATGCATAGCCCTGGTCATACACAAAATACATCAGCTGAATATTGGTTCCCTTTGCAAGGCTCTGGGGGGAAATAAAATAGATTTGTGGCGTTTATTTTCAATAATTTTCGTGGGTTTTTTTTTTTTTTTCCCCGAGTCCAAACAAAATATTTTTTTATTCTGTTTCGCTCACGGTCGTGGACTGCGCTGCTCCTTTTAACTCGGAACGGGTGAATTTTGGAGAGCTTTGGCAGCTCAGCTCGTGTTAAAACACGATGGGCTCGCAAGTTTTAATCAGAGCAGGCGCTGGGTTGGGTTGGGGCACTGGGATCTGCGCGTGTGGCCACCGTGGTGACCTCCTGGCTCCTGCTCCGGTGTGTTAGCGCACCTCTCCTGAAATGTCCCTGCCTGCTGGGCAACCTGTGACCCCAAGGCTCCGGGGAGAGAGGGCAGGCAGGCTCTGCCTCACCCAGGTGTCACTGTTTTATGAGGTGAGTGCCTCTCTCCCTCCTTGCCATCAACGCCGCGCTCTCTGCCAGGCTTCGAGTGCTGCCACCTCGTCTCTTCATCCGGACAGGGCTGCCAGGAGCCACTTACATCTCTGTCCCTTGCTGGGAGTTGAACACTCTCCAGGTCCCTTGATTTCTCCCCCTTCCTCCTACTTCCAGCCTGATTTTTTTTTTTTTTTCCCCCCATCTCACAGTCTGATAATGCAAAGTTTGTTTGTTTCCTTAATTAAAACCGAAATTTCCCTGAAAAAGCAGAAGTGCCTTCCAGGCCTGCAAATATTCTGTTTGCTCCCTTTTACTCTTGCTGCTAATTGCAGTTGTGCCTTTTCTATGAATCAGCCATGACATTTACCTTAGAAAAGAATAATCTGCCCACTGGAGTGAAATTAAAAGAATCTGATGATAATAAGAATCACCATTAGTAGCAACTGTGTAAATATGGTGTTTTATAGAGTGTGGCTCCACATTTTGCAAGGGAGCTGAGAAACAATCAGATATCTCCTCTTTGGACAGCTCAGAGGACAATCAAAAGGTAATGATGATCTGAAATATAGTAAATAATCACCCTGGGGGTGTAAACGAACCCTTCTCTTTTATTAACATCACAAAAGTCCTGGTGTCACTTCAGAGCAGCTCAGATCACCTTCAGTGAGATGTTTGCCATGTTTCCTTAGGCTGAGCTTGGTCTACTGGTTAAACAAAGAAAACAAAGCAGTAAATTATCTAGAATGTACCTGGGCTCAGGAGGCCACATTGAGCTTTCACAGCTTGCTATTTTCTTCACGTAATTTCTAATTTATTTTGTGCTCTAAAAGTTTGTTTTGGCTGGGATTGAAATTTAATTTGCTCTTCAAAGAAACATAACAATGGAAACACAAAGAGGAAGCTTTTGTTCTCTCCCTAGGAGTTCTGAAAGGTAATAATTATGAAATGATAAGATTCTAAATGAAAATGTCACTTGCAAAGGTTGAGGTTGAAAACAGCACAGGCCTATGTAAAGCGAGAAAAGTCACATTTGATTCATGAACATAAATGCAACCAGAATGATTTAATTTTAAATCATCTGATGATTTATTGTATAAATATTTTATAATTTCGAAAGGAAATTCTTCAAAGCACCGGTGTCTGCAAGAACACAATGCAGCTTTGCAAAAAACCCCTGCTCCTGTATTATTAATAATAATAGTAATACTAGAAAGATTAATAAAATATCATAAACACAGACTAGAAGAATAGTTATTTGTATAAATTCCAACAACTGCTACTCAACAATACCCTAAATCAGATGTAGGAGTAAAGTTTTCAGTTGTCTCTGTGCTCTGCATTGTTACAGTGATCAGCATATCAATGGTGCTGTTTTTTCCCCTACTCAACAAGAGCGTTAAGCCTCAAGCTTTAAAACAAATCTATTCTTTCAAATTTAGCTTTATAAACTGCATTTCCTGGTTTTTCAGGAGAAACTTAACACCTTCCTTTGCTGATATCTGCCTGTCTTTCCTCCTGAAATGTTCCTGTAAAGGGTGAGCCATTGATACTTAGAAAAGCTGTTTGCACACACATTGCCTGTCTCCCTTTGTGCATCTTGATGAGGTAAACTCTCATTGTCTGCTCGAGCAATATGTTTTGGTGGAGCTTTCCCAGGAATTATATATGTTGGGTTTCCCCTCCAAACACATTTTGCAAAGAAAACCTGGGTTCAGCATTGGAGTTCAGTGTCAGACAGATGTTGCTGCCCAAGAGAACGACCTGATAATTCTGCTCCTGAATTTCTCCCACTGGCGTGGAGCTCCCACACAGGTACTAAACATTTTCACGTGGAAAAGTTTCAAAAGAGGGGATGTTGGTGGGGGATGTGAAGTCAGATGTAAAGGAAGAAAGGACGCGGTGGTCTGCATTTCCTTGCTGACAAAAACCTCTTGGCACTGATTGCTATCTACATCCCATTCCAATTTTCCCTCTGAAAGAGATCAGACAGCATTATCAGCTCCTTCGCAGTTGTTTTACTTCCTCTGAAGTCTGGGATGTAAGTGGTGACCCAGCTCTCCTGGTGTTACAGTCCTTTTCTTTTTTTTTTTGGCTGATGAATTTATTTTGTCATTTGATGTCGTGCTACCTGTGAGGCTGAAGGAACCATCCTGCTTCCTGAGCTCGGGCTGTGTGGGATCTGATTTGCGTTAAAAGATACTTTTTTTCAGTACCCAAAAGTTAGATGATGATTTTGAGTGGACAAATACAGTTTCTGCTCCTCTTCCTGGGCTGGTTGGATAAACCTGTGTAAAATAACCCACCTAGAGTTAGGTCCCAGTAAGTTCATTAACTCATTCATTCTAAACCCATTTCTTACGTATAAGGATGCCTTTAAAAATTAAGTGTTGGCAAAGCTGTGGAGCAATTAAAGCCAGAAACATCACTTTGTGAGGTTCAGAAACCAGGTTTTTTCCAGTATTTGTGTAGCTCTGTCTTGACTGTGACCAAGAGACCAAATGATACCTCCTAACTGGTCATGAGTTGGTAAAAGGTCCTTCAGAAGTTTTCTGATTATTCATAATTATTCTCTTTACAGAAATTCTCATGTCTGGGTGCATGGAGGGGGGGGTTTCTCTGCAATCCTTTAATGACATCAGCTTTTATTCTGTTTTTTTTTTTTTTCTTGCTTATACTGAAAGAGTTTCACAAATGCAATAAAACCAGTGTTTTATCACTATATGAGTTGGAAAATGGAATTTTGTCTGAAGTTTCTGTACCTCCCCATTGTGGGATACTGGGTGATGATGAAATTCTATTTTCAACCACAGCACATGGTGCAATTCTTACTTTAAATGAACAAAATCACTTACAGATCTGAACTAGATCTGACTCTGGTATTTTCAGGCAATTTTGCCCAAACAAAAAGTCAGCACAGGTATTCATTTGAATAATAATAATATTAATAATAATAATAATAATAATAATGTTCTGACAGCATTTGCACCCCTTAGATTCCCTTTTAAAAGTATTACTAAAAAAGAAAGATCACATGATTCTATGATTATTACAATTATTAGTATTGTTTAAAAAGGAATTTGCTGGACGGTGTGCTCAGAAAATATTTTAAAAGCATGTACTAATTAAAAAGATAGTTTGGTAGAATTTGTATTGGATACCAACTTTTCAAAGATTTCACAATCTTGACTTACAAGATTACAAGCTACTGAAATATTTTGTTTTATCACAGTGTGATAGAGAATCCAGTGGACTTGCTATGAACTGACTAAAAATGACTGGAGGGTAGGTGGAGAAATTGGGGGAGGTGTAATTAATATTCACATTTTGTTTTACCTTCTCTTTCAATATTTAAAAATATTTTTCACACAGGTAAAATGGGCCCTCTATCTCTGCACTCATAAAATGGCCAATTTCTTATTCTCTTGTGGAACAACAAAATGCAACCAGTGCTTAAACCTCCTCTTCCTCACATGTGCATTAGCAGGACTTTTGTTAGTAAAAATAGTGGACTTTCTGGTATATTACTCTTATTTCTAATTTGAATTTAGAAATATATAAAAAATAAAAGCTGCATAACTTGTATAATTATTCTTAGTTGTGGTGCTCGTACTTTAAATTATTTATGTTGATTAGCAGCAGGTTAATGGTCATTCAATTCATTAAAGCAAATTATTGGGGGACATTTACGCTTTTTTTCCAGACTTATTTCTTTCTAAACTAAAGGCTAATGGGTGAGGATTATTGAATGCAAATTTCTCTTGCATTTTGAAGTGGTGGAACCTAAAAGAACCACCTGCAAGACTTTTTTGATGGGCCACGCTCAGTCTTACAGGAAAATAATCATTGTATGAAAAAACACCTTAGAGGGGACCAAAAATCTTACCTGAAGTTTTAATCTGTTTCACAGAAGAGAATAAAAACCTAAAAACCTGCTGTAGGTCAGCAGAAGAATTTCTTATTGAACCCACTGAAGATTATGGAAGGGGAAGTGTTTATGTGGCTGTAGGAAATATGGCTGTAAGGAAAAGAATGACCTCACATTCAGACATGGGGCACGTTAAATCCTAAATATTTGGCACATTTAAATACTTCAATAGGCCTCTTTCTGCATGTGAAGAGTAAATAAATATTGGGGAAAAAATAAACTTTACTTAAAAAAAAAAAAGATGCTGAAGCAAACACATAGGTATTACATTTTTATGTTGGTCTTAAAACAAGCCTAAGGCATTCTCCCACACTTTTTTTTTTTTTTCCCCAACATTATCTCCACCTGTAATAATAAAACATCTCTTCTGATTACTGTGCTTTCTATTATCTCATGTCTGTATCTAATTTATTTGCTACCCAGCCTTACTTTTCCTGTGTTAAAGGGTTCTTTCTCTTGTGGTAATGCAATCCCAGGTTGTGATTTAGGAGGTGGACGTGCTCCTAGCCCCCCCAAATATTCTTTTCTTGCTGAAAAAAGAAAAAGATGTTTAAGTTGTAAAATTTTTCAGAGCAGGATGTGTACTAAACTAGAAAATGGGACTACCTTTAAATGACATAGTTTTAAATTCATATAAAGGGTGAGACAACGTTGCTGCTTTAGAAATGTGGAATTGCCAAAGCAGAGGGTACAGGGAGTTTAAATGCCCTTCAAAATATAACACCCTCACAATGATTCCTAAAATACTAATATATCTAGAATGCAAATTTGGTCATAGCTTTAATATCTGTGTTCTCAAAGTTTTTGAACCTACTCAAACTCATACAGAGATTAAAAAAATCAGAGTGTTCAAATGCACTCTGTGTGGGACTATGGATTAAATTAGGAGAAGCTTTCCACAACGCATTTGCAAGGTGTGAAAAAGGGATACATCTATTTTTTTTTTTTTTGGTGCTTTCTGACTTTCTTACATGTGTGTATTCATTGTAGAGAGCTAAAAGTACACTTTCATAACCAGTTTTGATACGTTTTTTTTGTGGTAAAAAGCTCACTGCAGCTCATTTGTGGATGCACAAATCCCTTGAAGTCCCTGTCAATGGGAGGCTTTCCATTGTTTTCCATGGACACTGAAACAGGCCCTTATTCTTCTTCTAAGGCATGGTTTGCTTTGTTGTGATCCCAAACCCCTGTGATTATCAGGACAGAGGAGACAGTGTGTGTGAGTGAGTGATTTATGCTCTGCTTGTTTCTGTTGCCTCCAGAACATGGGTTTGCTACAAGATGAACTCTGATTTCAGGAAATCACCCACATTGTCAGCAAATTTGCCTGTCCTTCTTGAGCACTATGAACAGCCCATTTTTCATGTTTTCGAAATATTTTAATGCTGGACTTTGATATATTATTACCACATGGCCATATCACAATAAACTTTCCAGGGCTCGCATGCAGACTCGAGGATTCCTAAAAAAAATAGTATCAAAGGAGCAATCCCCTTGGGTCCCTGCAGAGATCCAAAGGAAAAGCTCTCCCTAGAGCTGGCTCAGTTTTACTTTTCCCATAGATAATCACAGGACGCAGGAGTCAGGGGTTCCAGTCTCAAATTTACCCAGAGAATGAGGAATTTTGGGAAGAGCAAAATACAGGATGGGTAGGAAAGATCCAAAGGGGGAAGTGCCAATCTGCATAACAGCGGTAAAACGAAAGTGTCATGAAAAGTTCTAGAATATCTGCATGCTTTTATCTAACTATTGATATAAAAGGGAGTTTTGGGTGCAGAAAAGCTGTGTAAGTGCCTAATTTCTGCATGAAACACACTGCACTGTGTTCTGTGGGATGTTTTATGGCTTGATGGGAAATCATGAATCTGTCCTTGAGAAAGCAGCAGGGGTTTATAATCTCTTTTCTTCAAGAGGAATGGGACTTTGCCTTTCCTACAAGTCGTTTAAGCAGGAAGAAGTAGAGGAACAGCTGATTAAGATTCTCCAAGAGTGGAAGAGTTAGTCCTGAGCCAAGTCTGATGGCCAGGTGTGTCATTTCGGAAACAGTTTGGGGTTGGATGGGATTTTTTTTTTTTTCCTTTCAAATTGCCTGTAAATAAAAGAACTGTGATTCTGTGAGCTCATTTGTACCTACACTGAGAGCAGGGTTGTGCTGAGGGCTGAGATAGCTGAGAAAAAGGGCTTTTTTTTTCTGCCATTGGCTACAGGAAACTTTCTTCCCTATCCCATCAAACTATCAGCCTGAGGATCAGAAACCAAACAAATAATAATGATAATAATAATAAAAAGGCCATTATTTCTTATCAAGCTCAGAATTTCTCTCTTTGAGGCTGATTAAGTACTGGAAGAGGGGCCCAGTGGGACTCTTAGGAAAGTTTAGCCTTGAAAATGTTCCAAACCCAGCTGAGGAGGCCCTGGGCAACATTTTCTAGCTCTAAGGTTGGCCCTTTTTTTGGGGTACTGAACCAAATGGGTCCAGGTGGGCCTCCCAAGCTAAGTTATTCATAATTCCATGACAAAATGATCCATGCCAAACCCAGATATATGTAGCTAAAGTTTGTCTTGGTCTTCCAAAACATTTCCTGACTTCAAGTGGGCTACAATTTAATTTTCCTTTGAAACTTGTTAGTTTCTGTTTATAAGACACAAATATTACTCAAATATTTTGGTTTTATGTGACAGTAAGAGGTATCTTTAACAATTTTGAGTTGATTTGACAGAAGCATTTTAGTATTAATGTATTATATGATGATGAGGTAAAATACAAAAGTATTAAAGCACTTTGCTTTTGCTCTGGCTCTTCAGAAACACTCTGAAATGTTGAAGTGCAGCAGAGAACCACTGAGTCAAAAGAAATTAATGCAATATGTTGAAATAATGAAAATATCACTGGAATCCAAGAGGATCCCAGTATCTCCCGTAGCCTGCAGTCTGGGAATTTGCAAATGCCACTGAGCAGGTTGGCTGGGAAGCCATCCTGCTCAACAGAGCTCAGTTTCAAGGGTCACCCTCACCTCTCCAGCCTTGGCAACACCTCCTTGCACCAG